CGCTTTTGGCGAAGGTGCAACAACAGGCTTCTTGGTCGTACCCGCAGCACCCTTAGACTTCGGAGGAACTGCTTTCTTAGGTTTCTTCTCATTCGACGACACAGGCGCCTTCTCAGCCTTATAGGCAACCTTAAAAGAGCCGCTAGCTCCAGCTCCTTTCACGCGGATCAGCTTGCCGGAGGCGGTAGCGGACACCAGAACCCTCCGAACGTTAACTTCGGCGACCCTCTCATCCACCTTGTAATGTGACTTAATGTACTTCAGAATGGCTTGCCGACTGGAACCACCTTTCTCCTTTAAGGCGACAATCGCCTCAATTATCATCTTAGCGAATGGAGGATGGGAAGCCGAGGCCTTCACAACTTTTGAAGCCTTCGACGCAGACGGAGCGGCAGCAACCATCGTAGGAAAGACCACAACAGCACGGATAACCAGTAGCACGTCACTCCAAACGCAGTCGCTCGTTTGTATATATAGTTGGGGACTAGCTCGCATCCAAGCACACTACGCGCGCGTGCGGTAAAATTCGTTGCGTAGGGTTTATTTCGTGGAATACCATGGTAGTCCTCACTTAACTCCATTTTTCGAGGTTACTTGAGGCTGTAGCGACGGATTAGCCTGATCACCCTATGAATTACAAATTTTGGTTTCTTAAGATTCAGTGAATGCTTGCTTTTATTCACATGCGAGCAAGCTATAGGGCCACGAATCTGCAAATCGTCGAAAAGTGAATTTGTGCATCTTTGGAAAACTTGTTACTATGCTAAAGTGAATCAAAGAAATTTTGAAAAAAATTGAGTAATGGTAAGTCCAAAATGTCTCCTTATAAATAATGTGGTTTTGGACTCAAAACATTCGTTCATTTAAGCAAAAGTCGCTTCTGAAAACGGACTACTCGGCTGTGTCGGTTCCCATTGCCGCAGACCTATCAATTTTTAAATCGTTATTTCTCCCTTACTTGAGGTAACTGAAGGATGAAAATGCATACTCTAGTAGACTATGATGTTTTTTTTACTAATTTGCCAGGGGTTTTGTAATATCCTTTTTATTTTCGGAGATATTTCGCTGTTTCCGAAACCCACGAAGGTCCCGTGCGATTGGCTGGTAGAGTCTATCTCCACCTCTTTGATATATGGTTCGGTTTATCGAATAGAATTTAATTTTTAGATGCTATTTTCTGCAAGATACATGCTCTATGGACCTCTTCTCCTCTTCATTGTTCGGCATGGTTAATTTTGGAGACCTTAATTACGCTTTTCAAGTCATCTTTGTCTCTGTAATCAACTACTTCGACTGTCTTTAAGTTCCAAAAGTTTTGCTGCTTGTGGACGCCGAAATCTGGCACTTATGCCTACTATCTGTAAGGTTCCAAAAATCAAGATAGAGTGTTTACTTCTGATGCATTTTTCCTTATAATCGCTTCACTCTTCGCCAACACCTACTGAATTGCAGCCTCAGTAGATTTGTTTAAGGGTTTTAAGGATTTGATATTATCTATCAGCATTTAATGATAATATTAGCGTCATTGAGATGAAATGGAAACAGTCTATTTAGTATGCTTGTTATATGACAATATCCTCTTTTCAGCAGCAATAATGCGCCGAATTCTTTACCAGCTAGATGATTGCCTCACAGTCAAGTCACAAGCTCTCTAACACGCAGTTAGCATTAGAGCGTGTCAAATATTGGTTCTGAAAGGATTATAAGGAGAGTGCGGTCAACATGCTGAATGGCTCTTTTGAAAAACAGAAATTGCAATATGCACAGCTGAGAGTTCTTGTCATCTGATGCTCGATATATTTCCCACAATCTCGGCCATTTAACACAGACCAAAAAACATTAACTTGCTCAAAAATCGAGTCTTGCTTGCATCCATAATTCACTAACGAAGCAACTTGGGTGTTGGGATGGTGGAGTGCGACTTGACCTAATCCAGCATGCCATAAAACCTCAGCATCTTCAACCATCCTGACTCGCGTCTGCAAGATGGTTTGCTTAGCTGCTTTAGTTTTACTTTCTTTCTGCCTTTGGCTGCGATGGAAACGTGAGAAGTCGGATCTGTTTCTCCCTCTTTTCACACCAAATACAGCTATGGGAGGCTTTTAATCAGTGGAGGACCAATTTATCCTTCAAACCTTCGATACATTTCCGAATGCTAAAATAACTCCATAAATACTTTATAGATACCGAGCATAATTGTCGCAGATGGTAGCTTTTAACTGAGTGTGCGGTAGTGGTAGGTGATCCAGCAATGCCTCTGTAGGTTTGATGGTTTAAAACTTTGCTTTAACAAATAAGAATTTCAATACTTGTATTATTGGTTTTACGGGCATTTAAAGTTCCTCAATTATACTTATGCGATGCGTCTTGGCTTCCGGGCTATGCGAGTTGCTCTTCCGTCTTTTCTGTGGCCTAATAATGTACAT